AAAAAAAAATGATAATGAAATAAAAAAGTAAAAATAAAAGTTAAATAAAAATATGCAAAACAACATTTGTTTTTTCCCCTTCAACTCTTCCCTTTCCTTACCCCCTCCTTTTTTTCCCCCTCTCTTCCTTCGTTTCATTTGATTTAGAAAAAAGTTTTTTTTTAGTTGTGGGCGGAACGTCGTTTTTTGATTTTTAAGTTAAACGATGATAACAAAGAAGATGAAAAAAAGAAAAAGATGAAAAAACTTTACAAGATTGAAACGACGGTTCCATTGTTTTTTTTGTTGTTGTTGTTGTTGTTTTAAAGTGAAGCATATAGTTGGTTTATCTATGTTCGGATTTTTGTCTGTCTGCCTGCCCGTCTGCCGACTGTTGTTGTCTGACTGTAAGGAGATTGTCTCCTCCGGCAGTTTATAGTCTCTTCATTCTTTTTTTTTTATTTTCGTTTCCTCTTCAGTGCGATTATAATGTATCGGTTCACTGTACATTTTACTGTCACTGAATTGAACCAATGAAATGAAGTCTTCTTCAGTGAAAGGGAACGAGGTAGCGGCAAAATTTTTCAAGATGACTACAATACTCGACAGAGGCGGGGAGTAGAGCAAAATGTTGGTCTCTACTTTATATTTTTTCCTCATTTTCATCTTCTTTGATAGTGCTGGTGATGGTATTGATGACGATGACGAGAATGATTTGTACAATGAGGAATGACGATGATGATAATAATGACGGTGAAAATGACAGAATACAAAAAAAAAGCAAAAAAGAAGGAAACTATAAGAAAAAAATTTTTTTAGCATCTCAAAATAATAAGATGAAAAGAGAATAAAAATAACTTCAATATTGACAGCAATATCAATAATAATAATAATAATAATGATAATAATATTAGTAATAAATTACTAATAATAATAACATTTTGTTTTCGCTATTTTTTTTAAACGTTACTGCTGATCAGTTTATTTTGAGATTATTCTTTTTTGTTCAACTCCCTTCCCCTTCTTATCTCCCCCTTCGTGCACTCTTTTAAATTTGTTTTGTTCCCATCTTATGAGCACTGATAA